CATTTAAATGCGGATAAATAAAGACAGTAGTACTTCTGCTTTGTTTACAATACATAGAACCCACATTTCACTGAACAGGTTTTTGGACAGGCAGCCTTCATTAAGAGCAATACCGTCACCCACACGGAGGAATTAGTGTGGTTCGTACAGCACAACGACAGCCGATAAATTAATGATCAGTAAACGACCAATTCACTTCAGGAAGCAGTTCAAAAGTACGAGATGCGATCGCTGGAACAAGAAGTTTATTTGCCTACGGTTAACTTTGATGATGTGATCAAGCCAGAACCCCGAAACGTCAGTCGGGTAAACTTCTTGCCCCAGCGATCGAATCTTCTACGTCTGATCAACTAATTAACTATTATGGCAAGATGGTAGAGTTTCGGGTGGCAAATTAGATTCTATCTGGTGGGGTAAATTACTCTTACGTCTAAAAATACTCAGCCCAAAGTCGAACTCTTACTGATCGGGAGTACGCGATAACTGTAAAGGCATTAACTGTGACTTGCCAAGTATGTATGCGGGGCCGGAGAGAGGGACATTCTATTCTAACCAAGGGTGTGCGTTAATGGCAGAGGAGGAAGGCCGTGGAACTTAAGTAATTTGTTAAGCTAGAACGCGAAGTAAAAGATTTTACGCAGGAAAAATTTGACACAGTAAGAATAATGGCAACAGATGGGCCGGAAAGATTAAACGAAGATAAATCGGAGAGGTGGTGGGGGGGCGAAAAAAGTCAAACTGATTCCCTCTATCGCGTCGCTGTGACGACTTGGATTTGCGGGTGGTAGCTGATATCATCGGCGAATGTGATTCTTGATTTTCCTCATATAACCATCATCTCCAAAAAACCAGCAGTCAAAGAGACGATAATCCTACACTTCTGACAGTTGGTTCATCCAAGAGACTGTTACTGTTCGTTCAGTGGTGACCATTAGTAGTGTTAATTCGCCTTTGATGGAGCAAACTTGTGAAAGATCTACCCACCTCCCCTATACCCCTTCGCGCCTCAGCCCACCGCCTTCCAGCGTGTTTTGATGATAAAACAATACCAATACAACCGGATATTAGTGCCCAGTAGTGACTTCTACGTGTGTCACACAAGAGCCAGTACCTACATCAGCGTTGACCAGTCTTCGAAAAGGAGTCTCTGATCGTTCCGGAGGGGAGTTTGCCATAAAGGTCACATCAAGGAAGAGCCCTCAGCTCAGAAATTAGTAGAGCTATACCGTTCACAGGGAACATCCGAGTGTCCAAGAGGTGTGTGTGTTAACTTCTAGTGTTCATTAACGGTCACATCCTCTTGTCCTCCTTTTACACGCGACCTGACTAAAGCAATGCCACAAGCCATTGTGCTTCCACTTCAGTCCAGTAATACAGTGGTTAAGCCCATTAGCGGGAGGGGGGAGAAGGCTGGTACCTTGTGAACCCGCATTAACAGCTTACATCAAGTAAGATTGTGGAAGATTCAACGCGGAGGTGGGGGGAGAGGGAGTTAGAAAGGGTTCAGGTGGCCATGCAGACACATACACACTAAATTTGCGTCACTGCAAAAAAGCATAAAACATATAGACAGTGGCACGAAGGCAGCCCCGAGTTTCGTAGGTGGGAGTCCTAGGGCTCTGACCAGAAAAACGTCAGTTGAGTCATGGGTGTGCGGCGGTTGGTTATGTTGGACTGCAGGAAGGGGGTGTATTACTAGAGGTCCACATTCCCAGCCACTACTGCGGCAAACGGTATATTAAATGTCGAGAGTTGTTTGCCTAGCCATTACTGAACAAATCGAAGGGCTTCGGCAATTGCGTCCCAGTCGATCAACATCGCATGGACATATTCACAAGTGACGGGCGATTGCACAATCCTCAATGAGGGCTGCTCCGAAACCAGTAAGCTTATGGATTTGCAACGTAAACACTCATAAACCGTGCGGTGAAAATGGCTTCAGGCATATCTGGATACCATTCTGAAAATTCGGTTATCTGAAAGAAGTAATGAGCTACAGCGTACTTCAGCACTGCGAATGTTGGCAACTATCAAATAGGGCTTTACCCCTTACTGCGCGAGACACATTTCTGGAACCGAGCGGGTGGGTGGAGATCTGTGCCCTGGAATTCAGGAGTTGGTACAGTCGATCCCGCCACCTTAGGCCTCCCACGAAGTTCCGTCGGGCGAGACACGCCTTGGGCAGACGTTTGGACGACTAGAGGCCTGTAGTCAGTGCGTCCTGGTTGGACATGCTAGGGGCCATTTGGCAATGTGGGGG